GTCGCTAATTTAATCACTGATCACTACTCTACATCTGGAATCTGCTTTTCTAGTATGAAACTCATTATGGCTGTGATACAATTTTCATATTTTTTTACATTTATTTATTTTTTAAATCTAAAGAAAATAGCAAGGGTGGAAAGACTTTATTACCGCCAAGTGATCACCATCCAGTTGTTCATCTGCTCATATCAAAACCTATAAAGCATACCATAAAGAACGATAGAGGGAACTTACAAGGCAAAAGGATCCAATATTAAAATGCACTAAAGTCATCCAATAGGTGATATATGAATACTTAAGGTTTACATGGCTCCCAAATTTTAGAAAAGTTAGAAGAATCACAATGAAAAGATGCTTCTGTAATATATGTTAATATTAAAAAAAAGGTATATAAAGAAACACAATGCAACAGTATTTGGTGCAACCATATGAAATCACTGGTCTTGTATTAATTTAATTAACCCCTTAAGGACGACTTGCCTGCTATGCCATCCTTGGGGACCAGGCTCTAAACGCTGGTGGGCGGCATAGCATAGCACGTCCACGCCGTCCTTCTCACTTACCTGCTCACCTGCGATCGCGATGGGGGGATTTACCTGACATCCCAGGGAGTCCCCCTGCTGCCGATCTGGCCCTCCTGGGCCATGTGATCATGAGGACCTCACGGTCACATAGACAGAATAAACATCCATAGCAGTGCCAGTGCCATAAAATAATATATACTTTGATTATATATATATATATATATATATATAATCTATCCACACACAGTTACACATACATACACTGTCTAAATACCAGCACTATATTTAACCCTGTAACTTTCCAAGACGCCATAAAACCTGTACATGAAGCGTACTGTTTTACTCAGGAGACTTCGCTGAACACAAATATTAGTGTTTCAAAACAGTAAAATGTATTAGAAAGATATCATCCATGAAAGTGAAATGCTTTGCATTTTTCACACACAAACTGCACTTACAGCGACGATCTAAATCTTGTGATACGTTTTACGTTTTTGAAACACTAATATTTGTGTTCAGTGAAGTCTCCTGAGTATAACAGTACCCCTCATGTACAGGTTTTATGGTGTTTTAAAAAGTTAGTCAAAGATCAGGCTTGTGTTTCAGTTTTTTCACATTGAAATTCGCCAGATTGGTTACGTTGCCTTTGAGACCGTATGGTAGCCAAGGAATGAGAATTACCCCCATGATGGCATAGCATTTGCATAAGTAGACAACCCAAGGTATTGCAAATGGGGTATGTCTAGTTTTTTTAGTAGCCACTTAGTCGCAAACACTGGCCAAAATTGCCGTTCAAATTAGTTTTTTGCATTTTTCACACACAAACCAATATTAACGCTAACTTTGGCCAGTGTTTGAAAGAAGTGAATTATGGCTGAACAGACATATATGGTCAAATTCCAAGTTTTGTTTACGTTTTATTTTGATCAAAACGTGTATATTTGGCTCAGTCCTTAAGGGGTTAAGAGCACACCGGATATGCTGACACACTTCAGTTGAATATTATGTGTGTGTATACATATCTGTAGGCTACATTGTGGTGAACAGTGTATTTTGAGGGGACGCAGAAGCCTTTAAATGTGTCAACTTATGGTCTCCAGGTCTTGAACGTTTTCTTATTAACAAAATTTTAAAATAGCAGGCTTTTGAGTGTTGCCCTCTTCTTAAACTTATCACTCTTAAAAATGGAAACCTATGTTGTGATAAAATGCCATCTCAGAAGTTCTATAGACATCCATTAAACTTCTTCTAAGGACCACTCTAGTGCCAGGAAAACATACTTGTTTTTCTGGCACTATAGTGCCCTGAGGGTGCCCCGGGGGAGGAAGGGGTTAAACTTACCTCTTTCTCCAGCGCCGGGCGGGGAGCTCTCCTCCTCTTCGGCTGAATGCACATGCGCGGCAAGAGCCGTGCGCGCATTCAGCCAGTCTCATCGGAAAGCATTCACAATGCCTTCCTATGGACGCTGGCGTCTTCTCACTGTGAAAATCACAGTGAGAAGCACGCAAGCGCCTCTAGCGGCTGTCAATGAGAGAGCCACTAGAGGCTGGATTAACCCTAATATAAACATAGCAGTTTCTCTGAAACTGTTATGTTTATAGAAAAAAGGGTTAACCCTATCTGGACCTGGCACCCAGACCACTTCATTAAGCTGAAGTGGTCTGGGTGCCTATAGTGGTCCTTTAAACCTCTTGGTTGATCACTGTTAATGCATTACATAGTTATCGGTCTGTCTAATCTAAGTGGTCTATCTATTCCATGAGTTTAATCAGCGATGTATGTAAAAAATTGTGTACTAAGCTTATTTTACTACGGTTTCCATTGCTGTAGCAGGTATATCCTATATATTGGGGTACAAGCAACATTTCTCAATACATTGTTCATTTATAGTGACAGTCATTTCAGCACAGTGGTGCCTTTTGTAAAATAAATTTTAGTATATCCTATATTGCAATTGAAGAATTAGGTTGCTGAGCTAATTTTACAAAGAAAAAGGGTCACTCAGCTAATGCTATTCACATAATTTGTGCCACTGTCAAAGTTGTACAAACTTTTGCTTTAGAGCCAGAGGTATTCTACAGCTGTCTGGGACTGGCAGAGAATTGTAGGACTTGTTCGCATTGAAACCAGAAGGATGCATTTGAACGCAGTGTTCTAGACAATGGTGGCTGGTGATTTTGCCTCTTTAGATGCAATTTCTAACTTTAAATAGATTGCAGTAGTTATAAATCACGGATATAAAAAAACTCTGTCAAAATAACCACTTGATATTAAAAATTGCTCTCTTAAAAGCATTTGCCTGCTGTTACCAAATGATGCTGTTCACAAGTACTGTAGATTACAAAATCACAGAACAGATTGTAACTTTTTGAGAGCTATAGGCAGAATATTGAACATGGCTACACAGAGAAAACACACAAAGTTTCTATTATTATCACTTTTAATAAGATTGTTAAAGGTCATTAATTTTGCTGATTGAATATTGCATCTACGTGTTAGCAAACTCTATGTATCCAGAAAACCCTTTTGTCAATTATGTATGGCCAAGCTTCTAAGTTCAATTTACATGACTTTGTAATGCAATAAATTGTACATTAATGTTTTGTGGTATATACATTTTGTGAAAAAACTTGTGTGTACATAATCTCTCTTATATTGTTATACCTTAGGTAAGGATGAAGAGTTTCCAAAGAAACCACTTGGCCAAATTCCTCCTGACCCTCCTCCGTTGCATTTGAACCACATTATGAATGGACAAAAGAATACAAACAAACCTCTTCCTCAATTTAAATCTGAAAATGTACCTTCTCCTACTAAAGTACAATACGGGTCTCCAAACAATGAACAGGGAAGAAAGAACTCCATAGAAAAGCCCTACAAGCCAAGTAAGAGAAACCCTGGAGATTACCGCACAGAGCAGATTAAAGGAGATGTGCAACATCGCAAATATACTTCATCTGCTATAGCATCTCAAGAAAATGTGAAATTACATGACCATGCAACAGCTAACCAGAACTCAAACGCAACATCCAATCCATTAAAGGGAATCACTCCGAAGTGGAATCTGCCATCTGAATCGAAAAACAAAGATCTAATCATTAAACATAATGATGGACGCATGAAAACACCAGATTATAATATAAGTCAATTGGAATCTCAGGCTGTAATTATGAAAAAAAGTAGGGTGGTTGATGTAGATGGTAAAAGAGGGTCCAATGCATCACAGTATGACAATGTTTCTGGAGGTGAACATGAGAATGGAAATCATATTCCAGACAGGTATCGGTCAGATTCAACTTCTGAAAGAAACATGTTGTACTCCACTAGTACCAATTCATGGCATCATTCACAAAATTCGAGCCCACCAAGAGGTGGAGCTAATTCAGGAAATAGTATGCAACCACGTTCTCCAGCACCATTTCTAGGTACCGATGATGGATATAACAAGAAACAGCCACCACCTTCCTATAGTAATCCACCTACCTACCACAAAAACTCAGTGCATTCCACAGGTAGACTTAACAGTGAAAATCATTCATCTGCAAGTTGGGTAAGCCCGACAAGTGGATCATATGACAGTAAATTTGATTTTTCTCTGGACAAATTACCTATAAATTCAAATACTAGACAATATCCTGTTACTTCTCCTTCTACAAGAATAGAAGTGTTACCTGCTGATGAAAGTGGGACAGTACGTTTAGGAAATTTTAGTCCGAGAGGGAAAAAGTACATAATTCCACCTGTGGATTATCATTCCGAACACAGTAACTTTCCTGATGCAGCATTAGGAATGTATGGACAACCATTAAACAATGATGAGTCTAGAAGCTATTTGCCCAGTTACCAAAACATGTCTCCAGCTGTTCAGCAGAATCAGGCCTATAATTTCTCGTCCATTCAAGTTAACAGTCCTGTTCAATACAGAACTTCTCCGCAATCACAATATCTTTATTCGAACACTGGAGTTAGTGGTCAGCAGTTGCGAAATCCTCGTGATGGTCTTATAATTCATGAGTCTGTAATGCTGTGAAAATGTCTTTATTGTATGTTCTTAGTGGTTTCAATCACTAAACTGGTTGCTTTGTTCTAATGGCAATAGGGATGCACTGAAATAAATTCTGGGCCGAAACCAAAAATTCAGGATGCTCTTGGCCAAAAACCGAAACCGAAAATTGCTTTTTTCCGCAAATAATTTTAAAAAAAGTTTTTTTTCCCTATAGTTTTATTAATATTAGAATTTTTAATGAATTTAATCTAATATGAAAAACTTCCCTCCCGCTTAATGTTCCTCTCCTCTCCCTCATTTTTTAGTGTTCTTTCCTCCCCAGTTCCCTCCCCTGTCCCTACTTGTTCTTTTCTCCCCTGTCCCAGTGTTCTTTCCCCCCTCCCCTGTCCCATAGTGTTCTCCCCCCCCTTCCCTGTCCCATAGTGTTCTCCCCCCCCTGTCCCATAGTGTTCTCCCCCCCTCCCCTGTCCCCCCCTCCCCTGTCCCATAGTGTTCTCCACCCCTCCCTTGACTTTTCATGTTATCATTACCATCTTTTATTGTGATATATATTATCACCTGAATTGTTAATGCAAGCATGTCTGTTAAACTATGCACTACAAAAATTAAATATATATTTTCTTTCTTTTTTTCTTTTTCTTTTTTGCAAATTTGACCCGTTTTCTTCCGAAACGTAATAGACCCATTTTCGGCCAAAAACTTTTGCAGACAAAATTTTGGTGCATCCCTAAATGGCAACATTTCAAACAAAACACTTCCTTTGAAACATTTTGTTTCTGGAAGAATTGGAACATATATGTATAACACAAATCTAGAATCTTAACATATCCTACATCTCTTAAAGGAATGCTAAACACAAAATAGTGCATGTCCAAACTCACCAGAGTTGTTAGATTATTTCAGAGCTACTAACCGTGAAGTATCTTCCCCCTTTATATACCGATATTAGTGGGGTGAATGGTATGTGTCGAGCTAAGCACAAGCAGGTTGTGTGCATGTGCACCACATATAGCACATTGTAGCATAATGTGTTGGTCAAGAAATTTGAAGTGTTTTAAGTTTTTTACTTAATCTTATTTATAATAAAGAAAGGGAAAGATTAATTTACATCTGTTTTCCTTGCCACATTTGCAAACTAGGTATGTTTCCATAAATTTGAAACTGCTTAAGGAATGTCCTGATGATTTGCCCTGAGATGTATATGTAATAATTTTGCATGTCATGTGGCTAATTTTATAATGCATCCTTTCTCATATATTAGACGAATAACTGTGCTCTATGTTTTAGGTTGGCAGTATGCTGACCATATTATTAAAGGACACCTTGTGGCTTTTACTTTTTAATTTTCTAATTCTGACTGACTTCTCAACTCTGCATCCTACAAGAAAGGCTTTTCTTTTGCATCTTTTGTAATTCCCGAGCTTCTTTGAATGAAAATAACCTCAATCAGTTGTACCAGATGTGGGGTTGTGAATACATTTTGTTCCTTTAAGAGAACTCAATTGTGTTGTACATGAAAGTAGGCTGTAGTTGTATGTGCAGATGGGATAGATCACAAGGCCTGTTTGAAGTAACTTTCTGTACTGAAGCTCACAGAGCCCTTTGACGTTAGTACTGCTTTTAGTAAACTTTGGACGGTGCTAGAAAGTTTATTCAATAGAACTTATAGATTCTTCCCACGTTATATTAAATATAATGGCCTGTCTTCCAACAGACATGGAATACTCACACTGTAAAATACTTTATTGTATCCATTTGGCAACATATACTTCTGCAATTGATTTTGAAAGTGCTGTACCCAGCTGTGAGCTGTCGGCGTTGAGTGCATCCCATGCAAAAATAATAGTTAATGCAATAATGTAGAGAGTGTCGAAGCTGGTATCTACAGTAAACCAAGCCAAGCTCTGCCTTAGATTAGCCGGGTTCCCCATAATGCTTTAACACATAGTAGGCCTTTGAGACTTAAAGGCTTTAATATTAAGCTTTAATAGCTGGTTTGTTTGTTTATTATGTGCCTCCCTACTGAAGAGGTTATTGTAACTTTTAGAAAGGTTATATATGTACCCTAAATATTTATTTATTAGACCTTATTTTTCTTATCTTAACAAGGTATTAACTAGTGAATTTGTTCTCTAGCAGCAGAGTTAAGGCACCTATAATCAGACTTTATAGAACAATTCTGGGCATTCTTGTGTCAATTTTTTTTTTTTTAACCTGAATTTCCCTTTTCTAGTGCCTTTATATGTCATATTCAGCTAATCAGTTTATGATGTCTGACACTGTCACTGTTATCTTATTTTTCAGGATTTTTTTTATTTGAATATGGTGCAATTATTTTTTTTTTTGATAGATTAAATAGCATTGTTTACTTGTTTATGAAATTAAACTCAAACATGTTTTTCAGCAATATTTCCTATAGTTAATATATATTTTTTTCTCTTCTAACCCCCTCCCCTCGCTTTCCAATTGCTCAGTGGATGATAAATATTGCACTTGAAATAGTTGTTCTAATGCTTACCCCTTTTCTTATTTCATGCATTTGTTTAAAAAATATTTTTCACCTCTTAGTGCAGCGTTCATGCACTATGTGGCATGCGTGGTTCGTAATGTGCCTTGGCTTCTAATGGCTTAATGTCTGCTGTTTTTATCATTACACCATCACACTTTTTTTTAGAACCAGTGTATTGTGTGCTGAAATGACACTAATGGTTAAGAGAAGGCAAATCAATTTGAATTGTCTGCTTTATTTCCAAGTACAGTTTGAGTGGGTTTTAGCTAGTTGTGATTGACACCTTTTCCCCCTTTTTCTCTCTTTTCTTTAACTGTTCTGTAAGAAGAGTATAATTTTAGTCATTTCAGTTTTCGCAGAGACATTGCAAACCAAAGTAGGAATATTCCATAACATTTTTTTTATACTTTTTTTTTTTTCTTTTCAAGAACACAGTTCCTTAATGATTTAAATGCAGGTGTTTTTCTTTTTCATAGTTGTATTAAGTTAGTATAAACTCATGAAATGTGGAGTTCATTTTTATTTTTAACCTATTAAGGTACAGAAGTAACATTTGTAAAGGCTAATCTTAGCTGGTTTTGCAGTTGAATACTAAAATGTGATTTATTTATATGGTAATTTTTAATTGTAATCAGCCTGATAGTATTCAACTGTGCAGAATACGGCATGTTAACAATTGCTAAACACTACACTGAAACAAATGACCTAATTCTGTTTGTAATGATTAATGGTTTCCTGTATTATTGATTCTTCCCAGCAGTTTAGTATGATATGCATATTATGTACATACAATTTAGCTATGTAATAATCCCTTTGTCTTAATTATAGTTCTAAGACTCCTAATTAATATGTACAATATTCAGTTTGTTGAGTGGCTAATGCTGTTCTTAAATGTATCCACAAATGATAAATATTGTAGATTTAATGTATAAAATATATACATGCTATTTTCATATGTCATCTGCTACAGTTTTTTTTAACTGTTTGTTTTTACTGTGACTTTTTAAATATGTTAAAAATTAACATTATTAAGAAAAATAGACTTGTGTTTTTCTTTGGATCACTGGAAATAAATATTTCTGTTTACATTGGATATTTACTCAAATATATTTCTTAGATCTAGCTATAAGAACAAAGAGAGAAAACCTGTATGAATCAAGGTTTTTTTTATGGTGTCCATTTCAAGGTTTACCCATATGATCTAATGTAGAGAATACAAACTAGCTGCATTTGATTTTTATCTATCTGACTTGTAAAACACTTTAACATACTGTGTATTCTAAATTATATTTTCCTTGTTACCAGGTAACATTTTTCCCCTTTTAGTCCGATAACATTGACAAAGAAAATACTTAATCGCTTATGACAAAATGTAAACCATGTTACTGGTTTGTGAGTAGTGCAATGTGGACAGCCAAATGTAAAAAAAAAAAAGGTGTGTGGCATGGAAAAAGGTATTTGGTTAATATTTATACATCTTCTTACATACTTTTAGTCTATACTCCTAGAGATTGTTTTTACCCTTTTCACTACAAAATAAAGTTTATTACTTAGAAAGTTTACATACCCTTTTCTTTGATCCATATTTATATTTCAAACTGTAGAGAAATTGAAATTATGCTAGCTTTAGTGTACTAATAATCTTAATTTTGGTAATGACAGCAGGCAAAAATTTTTGCTTTGTGGCTAATATTTCTTCCGCCTCTACCAGTCATGTACCTGAAGCTCGAGACACGTTTTGCACTAACTGTGCTTCCTTCAGTCAGGGCTGGCGCGTCCGTAAGGCGGCACAAGCGGCCGCCTTAGGGCGCAGCGGCCCAGGGAGCACTAGATTGGAGTTACCGGCAGGAATTGGGCGCACAGTGCTCCCTCCTGCCATGCACTCTGTGTAGCATGGCCGAGCGGAGCAGTGCGTGCCGTGGTACAGGAACTTATGTTTCCTGTACCCGGCCAGACTGAAAGGAAGTGCTCACTGAGAGAGCACTTCTTGTCAGTTCGGCCGGGTACAGGAGACTAAAGCTCTGTAGCTATGGGACAGGAGGAGACACACTAAGGTGCAGGGGGAATATAGTTAGGTAGTGGGGTACCACTAAAAGGGAGAGAGGAGGAGAGGGGGGGGGGGACATTAAGGCATAAGAAGAACAGGTAAGGGGGAGGGAACGACTGAAGCTCCTGTACCGCAGTCCGCTCGGCCAAGCTACAATAAAGGTAGGAGACACACCGGGGCACTAAGGGGAGGAAGGAAAACTATGGGAGGGGGAAAAGAATGCTATGGGACAGGGGAGGGGGGAAGAACACTGGGGGGGACACTAAGGTACAGGGGAGAGGAGGATATTAAACACTGGGGTAGTGGGGTGGACTTTAAGGGGAATGGAGGGCACTAAGAGACAGGTAAGGGGGAGGGGAGAGTAACACTTAGGGACAGCGAAGGGAGGGGGGAGGAACACTAAGGGACATGGTGAGAGTGGCATGGCACACAGGGGGGCCTGAGTGGGGAGAAAGACACACAGATGGGACTGGGAGGGAGATAGACGGGCTGGTGGTGAAAGAGAAACACACAAAGGAGCTGGTAAGAGTAAAGATGCAAAGGGTCTGGGAGAGGAGACACAGAGGCTGGGGAAAGAAATGGAAAGGGGGGTAGTAACATACATGGGGGAGGTGTAAGACACACAATTGGGGAAAAAATAGGGGATAAGACACTAAAGTGGGTGAGACCTTTAAAAAAGGGATAAGAAACGGTGGATTAAGAGGCATACAGGTGAAGATGCGTACCCAAAAATCCTTACAGCGACCCTGCCTTCAGTTGAGATGAGTCCTTTCTTCCATTCAATCCCCTATTATATCCTCCAGTCCAACATCTGATTAGTTAGCCTACAACACTATGAGTTTGCATATTTGTTAATCAGCTAAGTACTCTGCGTATCTGCTGCATAATTCAACGGTAAAGCCTTCTCCTTACGGGCTTAATGATCTCATTCTTTAAAGGTACAATCTATGTATTGACTTTTACATACACACACCTTCTAGGCTTTGCTGTAAGTATGATAAAAAAAAAACAGGTCTTAACTGCACAGATGTCAGGCATAGACTGCTAAACTGCGGTTAAAATAAAGATACATTTGTGGTCGGTTAATATCGTATTGTGAAATAAATTGTGATTGGAATTAAGTCGGTGTGATGTGCCGGAACAGACGTAGGGGGTAGGTTTGTAAAAGAGGGCCCCCCGAATGGATTGTATAAGAGGGAGAGGTGGGTGGGGTGAACAGCGTGCGTACAGCAAGGTAGGAAGGGGGGAGTAGCGTTTAGTAACGCTAACTCGTCCCACAAATACAGGCCTTCGGCCTTAAACTTGTGGTCGGTTAATATCGTATTGTGAAATACCTTGTGATTGGAATTAAGTCGGTGTGATGTGCCAGAACCGACGTAGGGGATAGGCCTGTAAAAGAGGGCAAAAGGAAATGCAAGAAAATACACTTATTGTAATATAATTATCCCATGAGATTCGTGTACCTTACCTCTTATCCGGAATGTTTCTGTATAACATTGCTGGTTCCAATGACTAATTATTATGTATACCGGCCTACTGCTACTGGATGCTCTACTTGTTGATAGGATGTTCTAGATAGGAGCCAGAGGTCCCAACCTAATCTAATGCAAGTATTAATGTAGAACCGCATTTAGAAGTAGTTAGCGGAATATTTAGTAGATCAACTGTCTTGATTGTCTGGTTTGAAAGTTGTCGTGACATGAGGTAGTGTCTGTGCCTTATTAATTCCATTGAGGATACATAACTTGCCAGTCTGATTAGCTGTGATCGTGAAGTTGTAGGGCCCCGGAACCCTTGGAAGGTTAAAGGCACAGAGGTTTAACCCCTTAAGGACACAACTTCTGGAATAAAAGGGAATCATGACAGAATATTTCCGTCATGTGTCCTTAGTGGTTAAGACCAGGTATGTGTGGTACGGATGCTGTTTATGGAGTCTGATACTGCCTGGAATTCCCATCTGTGGATGTATGTAATTGTAGAGTGATGAAGCAACTATTTTTACCTTGATCACTTATGTTACTGTGGATGTTGTGTTCCACTGAGTCTTGGAAGAATGTCATGACTCTGTCGTATGTATCTTAGCGCAAGTGAATAATGCTGTTGTCGAGCTCCAATAGCCGGGTGACCGGATTGGGATGCCGAAATGCGGATTATGCTCGGGTGTTGTCAGTTGGGTGAGGTACGAGACAGAGTGTCTCTTGGTCAGTAAACCCTAATAGTTATGTTAATGCTGCAATCCCTTGTCCGATGTTGCCTTCTTAGGACATACTGAAAAAGAATATGACAACAACAATGAACTCATTAACAACAATACGGTTAAGTAATATAGAACTTGCTGACTGACTAGTGCCGAAACGGAAATCTCTCTACCCCGTGACAAGTGAGGCCCTGCTAGTTGCCAAGCGGCTGGTGAGAGGCTATACCTATGATTTGGGCATGGGGCTCGAGCCACTAGCGTGGTGGCGGGGTGTCGGCCTCTCGGTGACAAAACGTGTGGCCGTGTCAGGTGAGGCCCTAACTATAAACCCGATTATTGGGTGAATGCGAGGCTCTAACTATGATTTGGCCCGAGGGGTGAAAATCTCTGTGTTGAGATTGGGGAGTTGGCCTCGCGGGACCACTACGTTGTACAGCTAAGGCCAGCTCCTAACCCTAGATAACCAGTTCTCTGGCCCTAGACGGGGGGCCTGATAAGGAGATAATGTAACATGCTTGGCAAACCCAAGTTGTGGATTATGATAGGTACCTGGAGATTCCCAGTCGGAGAAAGAGAAAAAGAAGGGAGGGAAAGGAACTGTGGTCGAGGGAAAGAAAATTATATGCAGTATAGTGCAGTTCTTGGAGATATAGCTGATAGTACAGTATCCTTAGACCCTGAGGGTGCTGAAGATTCTCGTGATGATTACTATATATTCCTGAAGGGAGATGTAGGAAGGCGTTGTGCCAAGAAAGCGTGATAGTACCTGACGGAGAGTGGAGGGTGAAATTAGCAAGGTAGTGAGTAACAGGACGAATGTTCCGGATAGTGAGTTTGAATGAACGTATGATGAGTTGAGTGAAGCCGTGGCCTGACGAGGCAAGGCAGGAATCAAGCCCCCGTACCTCAATACCCAATCGTGTAACAACGTGGCCTTGTAGAGGCAGTTGTTTGGAATGTGAACAAAAAATGTATTTATACCTGATAGAAACCAGTAATTTGTCTAATGGTAGCAGATGACAATATGCAACAACAATAGTAATTTGTGAAACAAATGTTTACTTTATTTTTTTTAAATAATTAAAGTTTGGGCTGAGTGGAGATACAGGTGATTTCAATTAGGAAACTGCAGTCTAAGACAGACAATAGGCAACTGTTGAGGAGAATAGCTCTCAACCTATTCCGGCAGCCACATTATACTCCAAACTACTGTTAATATAACTCGAACATAAGGCTTATCACACCCAGCTGCTGTATAAAATCTGCCTTACTTGGTGCTGATTGTGATGTGAGTGGTGATCCATGCAGATAGCGCAGGACCTGAGCAGGTAATAAAGCAGACGCTGTGTGCGCAAGGCATTTTTTTTTTTTTTTTAACTGCAGCGATCTGCAGGCTCGCTATGCAGAGCACACGTAGTGGCAGTGAATAGCGACGTGATTTAAGATTAATTAGGTACAGTCACATATTCGGGTAGATGCTAGCGTATCCACTTGAACAAGCACTAAGGGCGGATGTACCAAAAGGAAATCAATGGGACAGGTTGGTAAGCGACAAAGTATTAACCTGACTTCTGAAAGGGCATAGTGCCAATATGAGTGTAATTTGGTATACATAAGAAAATTCTGAAATAATTGACCATATTATGTATTATTGACCCATATTAGGACTCTCTGTGACTAGAGCCAACGTCACCTTAATTTTAAAATGTAATTAATAGATTTCATACGTAATTAAACATGTCATGCCGCAATATATAACCTGCTTGCACCGGTGCAAACCACCTAACAATAGTTGTTGTTTAACAGTTAAGTGTTTTTGCAGTTAGAAATTTTTTTTTTCAGCTTTGCTTAGGATCTTTGTTTAGAGACTTGAGAGGTCATGCTTACATTTACCAACTCATATAACCCATTTTACCATTAAAGGACCACTATAGGCACCCAGACCACTTCAGCTTAATGAAGTGGTCTGGGTGCCAGGTCCAGCATGTCCTCAGAAAACATGCAGGGCAGAGACAGCCAAGAGAGATACTACTTTACTATCCAATGTTAGCTTAACTTTGTCCAGCTCCACCACTTTAAATCAAGTTGGTACCCTAATTGAGACATTTCCATTCCATTCGTATGGAGTAATTGAGCTAACCCACCAACAGAGGGATTGTACGGAAAACGCATTTATGCACACTGTTCTAATTCCTTGGT